GCGTTCACATTATATACCTGTTTGCTATTTGCATAACAATGGTTTTCTTTGGAATGTGGGCTTTGCGCATGCGCAAGAAAGTACGCATAATAAGGTCATAATGTTCCATATGGCTCATAGAATTACAATTATCCTTCAAGGTAAGTCTACCTCTTGTCTAATTTTCAATTTTCCAGCAATACTCATGGTTTGATTTGCCTTTGGTAAAAATGAATTGTTTTTCGCAACTAATCACAATTTTAATCGAGAACAAATCTTTAAAATATAGATTATAACCCAAACATGCACTTAGATCTATTGAGTAGCTATGTCCTTACTTAGAACAAACCAGAGTCGAGGTTGTTCAGGGTATCGATAAAATTAAAATCCAAAAACTGCTTTGAAATTGTCTCTAGTTTACACTAGGATTTTATAATCAGATACCAACTTCCATCGTCCACTAATGGAGATCTAATGATTCGATTTAAATCGTATTTTACCCAGAGCGAAGAGAATCTGTTCTTCAATATATCAGTGCGCTAATTACACTTTACCTCGAAATCAAATAAAAAGCAACAGTTCTTTCTCAGCCATGCTCCTTGAACCTTGTATCACTTCTTGACGCACTCCTCGAAAAAAAGATAGCTATTTTAATTTAGGTTTCTTGCTTTCTTCTTTTTGAAATGTCTGGATTTCGTTTCCTTTGTTTAGTCTGTTGTTTTGATTCCTTGACAAGACAGGCTTAGTGGTCCGAGGTCGAACCGAGGTCACGTGATCCTGGTTACTAGCAAGGCCCCCTAGTGACCCCCTAACCTGCTTGTGATCTGGTGGTTCATTCATGGTGTTCAGGTGGAACTACACGGTCCAGAATGTTCGAACTCTAAAACAAGCAATGTGTAATATTATCACAAGTGGATCCCCAATAACGAAATTGTATAGCCTGGGTAATAAGTCTTTTTGGCCGCGTAGGACTAATAGAGGGAAGTTTCCCTTGTTGTCATGGAAACATAGGGTAAGACGTATTTAAAAAGCTTTAAATATTGAATTTTGGCGGGAATCAACTCCAAACATTGTAGCACGGTTTCATTCTAAACCAATAAAAAATAAATAAATAAAAATAAAATAATAATAATTAAAAAAAACCAACACGAAAACGTTAACATCGTTCAATAGGACGTTTGCAAGATGACGTCATTTTACTACCACTACCATAATGCTTCGCGAATTTTTCTCTTATTTAAATTTGTATTCTCTCATGAGGATAGTAAGATAATGAGTGCTAATGAACTGAACAAAAGAAAGTGTGCAAGGGAGTGTGGTAGTAGAGGTCAATGACGCCATCTTGCAAACGTCCAATTATTACATTGGATTGCAGGAGGACAGATAGCCCATAAACAGAAAAATACCAAAGAAAGAGAGAAATGTCTGCGGTGAAGGCTACCACAGGAAGTCCAACAAAGATAAAAATGATAAATACAAAATTCAATCGCATGATATACCACAGGTAGCCCAGTTCATAAAACGACATATACAATACTTAAGGGGACTCATATATTTTATTTTCATCTAAAACTTTTATCGAAATAGGGTTCCTTGGGATCAAACAAGTGAATTTTTTTTAAACTTAAATTTCTCGAATATCGCATAACATTCACTGCGCATGCGTTGTTATGAAAAATTCTTCCAGTAGTCTCTCCACGGACTCAAAGACAAAGTGTTGGTAGTGAACTGCGTCTTTAGGTCGTTCAGGTTTTCCTGTTCCGTGTGGGTACGAATCGGTCAGCGGAAACACATCAAGAACCTTGAATCCAGCGCGACACATGGCTTGAGTTGCGTATGCGTTGAATAACAGAACACGCTGCTGGCGAGAGACAAAAAATATTGAATGTCATAAAAAATGGAATCAAGAGTATTTGTAGTGCCCTTGCTTCCAGCTTCGGGGGTCTCAGGTTAAATGGACTTCGTCATACTGATCATATGTGCAAGTAGATGATAACTAGTAGAATACTAGCGTGGACTGCGTCGGTGTTTCTGAATAAAACAGTTTGGACTTGTACAGTAAATTGAATCACCGTGAAAAGGTTGATAAACTGACGTTTCGGACGTTAGTCCTTTGTAGGAGTAAATAACGAAGGACTAATGTCCGAAACGTCAGTGGTTCTATCAACCTTTTCACCAGTTTCGTATTCGATGCATACCGCTGTTTTTGAAGACCAAAGACTCATTTTTCGCACGCTTAGCCTCGTTTATAAGTCAGCTATTCACAGACACCATTAAAAGTCCATGCGATTTCAAAACATTGGTATTGTTCAAGGCTAAACCTGTGCAAAATAGTCTTCGTACATAAAAAAAAAGGCGGTATGCATCGAAAACTGGAGAATCAGGAAAATCAAGAAAGCCGGAGACCTACAAACTTAGTTTTTACATAGAATCTGCTCTAGTTAATAATAAGCAGTCGATGACCGACCTGTGAAGTGAGGAACCTTCTCGCTTGCAAATGTTTGCTGTCCAGTTTATCCTTGTATAACGATGTAGTAGTCTTCCAGATCATCTCTCCAGGAAACACCTTGACCTCGTGATCACCACCAGTAAGCTTATCTCTTTGAAACAACCGAATAATACTATCTACAACCTTCTTGTAGTTCGTAAAGTTCGAGCTCTCGAGGTAATGCAGCCCTGCGTTGACCAATATGGCGCTATTCTTGTCGAAAATTGAATTACTTATGACGTCATCGAGTTCATTGATGACTCTGACGTCATCAAAATCGAGATCGTCATCTTGGGATTTTGCCATGGTTAGGTTACCTTGGAAACGAAAAAAGGTCGTACTAAGTGGAAAGATGTGATAATAAAGGATTTAGCAGCAGAATTTTTAAGTACGCGAGTAGAGTTTATTAGGTCTCTCCCTTGATTCGATTGGTTTTCTCTAGGTTCTCCGGTTTTCCTCCCTCCGCAAAACCTAACAAGCTTAATTCCAATTCAACCTGTGAGTTAGCCATGCCCTTACTTAGATCAGCACAGAGGTTGTTTCAGGGTTTAATCTGTGAGTTACCCATGCCCTGACTTTGATCAGCGCAGAGGTTGTTTTAGGGGGTATGCATAAATTTTGAAGGTTTTTAGTTTTTTTTTTTAGAAAAGCCCAGTTTGTGTTTCTTGGCTTGTCACTCACCATTCAGTCTGTAGACCCAGTTATACGTATGGCCGCACCATCTGAACACTCTGCTACACAGTGGGTGCTGGCGGATTCCCGAGTAAAACTGCTCGGAAACTGAGTCACCATAGATCCATAAGATGCTGTTCTTGCGCACGCGATCTCCAAACCAGTTCGGGTTTGTTGTTTTATCTACGGTGAGTAAAGAACGACGTGTAAAGTCAGTGACTTTTTTCTAAGGACAATGCTCGATATATTATCGTTGGGTTTCCTATACACTTGAGAATGAAGGGCAGACAGACAAAGCGATACACGACAGAAAGAACGCAGGAAAGAAAGGAAGGAAAAAGTCAACGAACAAACGAACGAACGAACGAACGAGAAAGGGAAAGACAAAGAAGAAGTAAGGAAGCATAGGAGAAAAAAACTGGAAGCAAAATGAGGGAAAGGTAAATATAAAAATGGGATAAGTTGAAATAAAAAATTTATTTAAGGAAAAGATGAATAACAGGCAAAAACTGGGCATTCTGTGGTTGAGGTAGAGGAAAAAACTAGGTCGAGTTCACATTGCAGTGCATCATGAGACTATTCAGGGTACGAAATAGACCCCATCTTGGAAAACATGTCCTACAACAGTCTCACAATATCAACTCGACCCATGTTTTTCCTCAACCTCGGATTGGCTAAATCACTCTTACCGTCTCCTGGCACAAAGGGTTTCCACTGCATAGTGTTGCCAATAGCAACCCAGTTACCAAAGCCGTCCCAAAGCTTATCGCACTCAAATCCGCAGCCGAGGTCAAGATGATCTTTGTGAGCCATGACCGCTGGAAAACAAAATAAACGGAGCAGATTTCACCCAATTATCAGTGGTGCAGTCTAATGTGCTTTGTATCAAACAAAAAACCATTGCGATGCTGTGACTCTCAAAGTTTTTGTCTTTTAAAGGCTTTAGTGTCAACCCCTGTGATTGGATAATCAGAGTTTTCCAGCCCGATATTGGCGCAGAGTGGAAGCCTGTACAGTGGCGTGGCTCTCAAATGGGTTTTGTATCTGAAGCAATTTATTGTATGGCACGCCTTTCTTGCTCTTTAATTGGAGGGAAGAGGGCAGAGGGGAAGCCTACATAGTGCGGAAGATCGTTGCAAATTGATTAGATTCTCATCGCTATCCTACCCTTTGATTGATGCAGACTGAGAAAGCCTATACAGTGCCATGACTCTCAAATGGCTTCAGTATTTTTAAGCAATTTGATTGGATCATTATGAGCCTTACTGTATTCTGATTGGATCACAGTCGTTACCTGAGAGGACGCTCGGTTGTTTTGGAGCAGGATATGGAATGGTAATGGTGATTGGACTTCCGCCCCAGAGCTTCTTGAATAGGAATGGACGATTCTTTGTTGAACCAAGAATTCCTTCTTTCTGATATTTTCCCTGAGAATTGCCTGTAGTTCAATCAATCAATCAAGTTATAAATCCTAGGGGGAGGGGGAAGGGAACATACTCATGTGAGTGGGCGTGTGGACAAAAGTGTGCATGAGTAAGCGAATAAATGAATCCATTACCGCCGCCATGTTTGGATACATAACAACAGAAACCAACGACGCATCCCTTGTTGATTAAGTCCGATGCAACATGGCGGCAATGACGCCACACATACTTGGAAATAGAAATAGTATTACAGCTAATGCGGCGTGCGGACAAACCTGTTTTAAACCAGTTTGGCGGTGGGTCTGTATAGCCGTCACACAGTGAATACTCCAAGACCACGTCAACCGCGTACACCCCAGGCACGGTAACAAGGAACAAAACTTCATAGGTCCCATTGGTGTGGTCAAATGACGTCCCAGCGACGGAGCTTGGACCAATCAAGTGAACCCTCCACGAGTCGCCACCAATTCTCTTCACTTCCCCTTTGGCCGTTTTGGACTGGATGCTAAACTTGCTGAATTCACCTGCAGGGCGGATATCCCATAATGATATCAAACTCGAGTCGGGGTCAGTTCGTTGATCTTGTCTCAGCCCCTTGGCGTTTGTGTCCCAGGCGGTCATACCATCACATGGTCTAAGAATTCCTTCCCAGTCCACGCTCGCTTTTCTGACTCGACACCAGTCTCTCATGAAATTTTCGATTTTTGGATTGTCAGAATATTTTGGTAAAAAAAGTTTTCTAAAAATGGCTACAGTGATTACTAAAAATATTATAAAAACAAACAAATTTCTTCGTCTTCTTGTCCTTGATTTTGTGACATAAAAGCAATCTATTTCTCTTGCCATTTGAGCGGCTTTCAAGCAATCTCATAAACCAAAATTGACTGGATCAAAAGGATAAATCCACCAATGATAAACGTTCTTCTTTTGACCTTTTGCTGTTATAAGTTCCATATTCCTTGTCTTTTGCCTTCCAGGATCAATTCTCTTTTTACCATTTTAAATTATTTGAAAAGTATTTTTGAATGTGTCGGTGTTGAACAGGTTAGACTCAGAGACATCTTAGCAGGTAGCATGGTAAAACTACCAGTAATATATGATACAAATATACCACAGGAATCCCATATGAAAAGAAAACAAACTAGAGAGTTTGAAGTAAAAATAAAAAAAAAAAGAAAGAAAGAAGAATATAGACAAGAGAATAGAAAATGAATTTACAGGAAGGATGGAAGAAGGGTAAAGGAAGTAAGAAAGAGAGAGAGTTTTTTTTATTCAGTGCCAGTTTTGACTCAATTCATGTCATTTTTTCCGAATGATACCAAAGTCGAATTTTTCCGGGTTTAGAATCGAATATTCGACTTGAATTTGGCCTTTGCAACGCGTTTATGTCACGCGCCTTGATCGACAAAGCAGGAAGTACATTCCTATCATTTCTTCCGATAGTTAGGCAGTCAAAGTGAAAGGCTAGTCTCGTCCACAGACATCTCAACAACATTTTAGGGTCCAAAAATTATCTTTTAAATAAGGAATACGAAATTTCCTATGCAAGTACTGTTGCAAAAGAACTGTACGTTTCACGGTACGGCCACTTCCCCCGTCCCCTCCCCTCACCGTTCCCAAATTTTCATGGCACGGGAAGTTAAGGGCTGTAGACAGACCCAAAGTGTCTTCTAGTACAGTCCTCTCTAAGCTTCCATGTCATTCAATTAGCCTGCGTTTTGGGACCGTCCTAAAAATCCCTCGCCAAAGGACGTCTGCAAAGGAGGCTAGCGTTCAGCCAGTTTAATTTCTCTCGAAATGATATAATAATAATATTCCTACATTCAATACACAGTCTTTTTTTCCTCAATTTTTTTCCTCCAATTTGGAGCAAATAAGTAAGCATTTCACAAAATATGACTTCCGTTGCGTGAGCTCGTTGCATGAGATACTGGCTACTCCAATCACACGAAGGCTTATATCTTTGATAACTATGACATCATCAAGACTTGACCAAGCAGACCTTCATCAGTAACTAAGACTGTAGTCTCCCTCGCACCCGTTTTTAGTGTGAGCGTTGCGTGACGACCGACACTAAGAACGGATGCGAGGGAGACTACTAAGACTGCATCAGCTGCAGTAAATGATCATGAGTTCTATATATGTCGTGACTTTCTTAATTGAAATTTAACTCCGACCTCATAGGAAAGCGATATCAATGGATGTGCATTTGTTAAGGAAAGTTTAATTATATTTCTGATGTTCTTCAAACGGATCGCTCGGGTGTGAAGACCACGTTCTCTCGAGGTAAACCAAAACCAATCGATCTGCACTGTGTTTACAGACTACATAACATATTGCTCCACAAACTGCATATATTGAAACCTGTAAAGGTGTTAAATATCGCAGCTGTTAACAGTACAGTAATAATAGAAGTGCTAGAGGGATTCGGTTAAGGTATGAGACCTGAGTTGTGGCTGAAAAAAAATCCTCACTTTTTAGTAACTAGTTAGCTTGTTTACGATAATATGAATCCATATTCT